ACATTTGTAGAGGGTAAGGCCTTCTATAGATGTTCCGAATTTTAAGCTAGCAAATAGGTCTGGCAAACTTACATCTCTAAATTAAAAATCGAGGGGGGGGTGGGGGGGGGAAATAAAGAAGTGCTGGTGGTTTAAGGAGAGTATAGGCTTTATTCTTTCATTTTTTATAAAAGTTGACTGGCCTACCTTGTTCCCCAGTCCTCAGTTTGTCTCCTCATAGTCGCTGTCTCCCTGGAAGTACAGTGTGAGTGGTAATGACTGCCTGCCTCCCTAATGAGTCCATTTTCCTGCTCTTGATGTTGTGTATATACACACACTGCAACCTACCTTACAAACCACAGAGACGGGAAAGGGAGAGCGAGCGAGAGAGAGCGAGCGAGAGCGAGCGAGAGTGCGAGAGACAGGGAGAGCGAGAGAGGGAGAGAGAGAAAGGCGCACACAGACAAAGCCCTCCTACCAGACAGCAGACAACCCTCCTTCCCCTATCTCGCAAAATACAACTCGGCTAATGCAGCAACAGGTTCAATACTGCCAGGCTGAGGCAGCGTAGAAAAGGTATACGGGGCTGAGCAGGATTGCTGGCAAATAAACAGTTTGGTGCCGGCTGGCTCCACCTTTCTTATTTATGTTACAGGATGTTGGAATGCATTGTTTCAGACAGTCCATAAGATTATCATAAATACATTTTTTGTGCATATTAGCATGGAGCGCCGAAACGTCTCAGCCATTCTGCTCCGTAACCTTATAGCTCTAACACATGCAGGGAAGGTGTAAACATATCTCTTTTGACAGGCAGACTACACAAAGCCCACTGATGATTTTAAAGTCATGAGATCTTTCAAGAAAGACGCTCCTGAAGATAGGTTTCCCCAGACAATAGGGGAGCAGGGAAAATTGATCTTGATGAGGAAGAAGTCTTCCTAAGAGACTGCTCGGTAAACAATTGAAAAGAGAGGGCTATTCTCCCCAGCATTCCCTCCTTTCAAAAAATATATATTGGGAAGCTTCTACCCCTACAGCTATAATAATGTGCTGTGCTTATGTCTGAACAGGTGCAATGCATATAGTACATGGTGTTACAAGGACAGAAATAAATCTCTCAAGTAAAAAAAAAACATTTTCCCAGTTGCAAACAGGCCAAGGTTATTTAAAATACAGGTCTAATTTGAAGAATGTTCTCCCCACTCCCTATATATTTTTGCTGGGGTGGAGGAGAATGGGGGGACGGGTGGGTAGAGGGAAGGTGCGAAGGGGAAGCAAAGATGGGAAAATCAATACATGCAACCAGTTACTAGATTTTTATTTTTACAATATTCTGTCACATCTGAAGATATAGACTGTTTCTAAAATAATTTTCACTCAGCCCTGCCTCTTATCACACGTAAACCTATGCTGTCACAAAAATTCTGTTGATTTTAATGACAACTACAGGCACGTGAAAGTAGCAAGAGAAGGAAAACAACATTTTGCACCAACATTCCATCCTTGACAAAGGTTCTCCAAGAACTTTAGCCACGGAGTATTTCTTAGATGGAGAAACTGAGTCGAAGGGAAAGAAAAAAAAAAAAAAAGAGATTAAGTGATATTCCCAAGGTTATGCTGTAAATCAGTGGAAAAACAGATGAGGACTCAAATCTACTGGAGCAAAACAGAATTTGCCTGGAGTAACTCATACCCACCTAAAAGTTAAGTGTCCTGTCTAAGCCAGTTGTGTAGGCTCCCTCTATTGTCAGTGGAGAGACAGTCACCTCCCCAAAGCAATTCATCCCAGCTTTTTTCCCTCTCTCCCCACTGAGAGGCTACACAACTAGATTAGGCTAGGAAGATAGCTGGTAGTTGGCTAAATTAAGTAAAATGAATCTCACTTTTGATCTAAAGCTCTATTACAACAACATCCTGCTTCCCAAAATACATTTTTATTATCACATTTATTATTAGGCAATGTATGCCTAAATTGTAGTGATGGAAAAGGGATAGCCTGCTGACTAACAGAGACAGGTAAACTCCCTAGATTCATGGATTTGTACCCTCAGGCTGGCTGGATATTCATGATTCACAGAGTCTTTATAATATTAACCAGCCTGATGACTGGTGAATGTGATTAGTTTTGTTCACTGGTAGATGCTACACATTTTTGTATTTCACATATAAACATTATGTTTCATCCAGATGTACAGTAAATACAGAAGGATTAAGTCATTTATTTCAAAATGTTAATTTTCATTAGTGTTTTCATCAAAAAACAGATTTTCTTACCTTAGGGTAAAATATAAAGAGTAAAAAGCTCTAATAGGTGACTTAGTTCAATTCCTTCTGTAATATTTAGCTACGTACACACCTGGCATATGTAGAGGCTGCTCTACAAGTTATTCCAAATATATACTGCAAAAATATAGTCATATTACATATTTTCTTCTCTGCACTTTATGACCATAATCACCTTATTGAAGGGTATGTCAGGTCAGGAAAGCAGAAGGGGCATTTGTAGACTTTGCTTCTAACTGTGGTAACTCGATCTGGCTGTGTAAGTACCAATTGAGCACTCACTGCCTCAGTTTTTCCATCTGTAAAACAGACTCAACTGTAGTTCCATGAGTAGATGGTACTGTAAATATGTGAAGAGTCTTCTCATCTCAGCCTGGCATCTCTCAGAGTTTTACGATGACAAGTATTAGGGGAAAAATAGAAATACTTTATCAAGGGGACCTGTATCAAAGCCAGCTGATGAAAATCACAAGTTTTTATATACTTATAATTCAGTTCAAAAATGGTATAGCCTCTGAATTTAAAATTTAAAAACTAGATCTACAACAAAATGAGGATATCAGATGTGAGAAGTTCTTAGTACTCTGCAATATCTGACCCCAAACTAACATGAATTCCTTGGTCCTACCAACCTTACACATCCAAGTCTGAAGAGCTATTCAAAATGTACCAAGTTCAGATAAAATACAGACTTGAACCTTTCAAATTTAAGACATTCAGATTGAAATCTGAGGACTTGGTTGGAAACACTTAAGTTTGAAAAATGCTCAGATTTGCAATTGATCCAGATCCAAAGCCTGCAAGTTGAGAGGCATCTAGTACCTTACTTTCTTCAAGTTTCTGGAAATGTCATGTATGCATCTGAACGAGAATCACAGGCCAAATTTGCTGATATTTTGAGGAGTCCTGAATCTCAGTAAGAACACTAGAACTGAGCCCATTTCCATCCTGTTACAATAATGCTTAGAGCCAGACCCAAACTGGAACCCAAAGCCACCCCTTCCAAAGTTGCATAGGGTTTATGCACTTGTAGAACTATAAAACTAAATCAAACACTTTCAAACCTCGAGATTGTTGGAAAGCAAATATGAAGTAGACTCCAACTTAGCTAGTTTTGACACTCAATGAGAAATTAATCAAATTATCTATAATCTTTATAAAATCCAAATACATATCAAACCTGAATGAAAAAAAAACCACAAGATATGATCTACACAACTGGTTCCTTGCCTGAAAGTCTTTCTTAGATTTAGATCCTAACCATCAATGGCTCAAAAAAAAAAAAAATCCTGAATGGTGCAATTTGAATAGAGAATCCTGATTTAATGTTTTGCGGACAAAAAGCTTCCCATTTGCTTGATTCAAAATGCTCAATGAAAGCCTGCTTGCCATCACACCACATTCCTGTGGGCCTACAGTGCCTCCTCCCCATTATGTGAGAAGGTCGATGGACATGCACTTGGATCACTTGCAGGAAGAGGAAAGAGGACATGTAACTGCTGGCAGCTTTCAGCTCTGTCACAGGAGAGGGCACAGACCTGCCATGTGACAGTGAGGGCCTGCATGGCAGTCACATGGCTGGTCTACACTTGGCCATGCAACAGCACAGGCAAGCAAATTCTTGTCACGTGCCCAGGATTGTACCTCTCCCATGACAGAGGCACCAAATTTTGGTTATGCCACACATGGGGTCACCCCACAAGAAAGAGGCTGGAACAGAGGGCTCAGAGCTGTCTTAGTGAAAGGTTGCACTATCCACCCTGAATGCAAGAACAGGCAATCCTGGTCTACCCAGTAGGTGATACTCCTGGTTTTCTTTTTCTGCAAACTTGTCTTCTCAGTTCAGTTAGTCTCTAGAGACTGTCATTAGGAAGGCAAAGGGGCCCCAACCCTTCTAGTAAAGCCTTAAAAAGAACAAAAAAAATTGCTAGCACCATAAAGGCAGGTGAAAAAAGCTGGTGCTTGGTGCAGCAGGGGCACCCATCTACAGTTCTCCCAGGAAGCTGCAGAGCCCTATGAACACACTGATTTTCAGTAGTAAGGGGAAGATAGGGAAAACCAAACTGCCCACCAGAACGGTGAAAGACTTTGCTGCAAATTACAGAATTCTGGATGATGGACTAAGAGGGAAGGAAGGTGCTTCAGTGCCAAATAGTTCGATACTGCTCCTCTCCTATCCTTTTTATATCCCCAGGTGCACCATCATGCTGAGTTTAGACACATCTTGCTGGTACCCAAAACTGGAAAAGGAGTCACAGCATCATATAATCATGTCAGAGGCTAAGAGCTACTTCCTTTGAAAAGACATCCAAGTAAAACCTAGCCCTTTAGCAGATATCTAAGGGTTGATTTTCAAATTCTGAAGAAATTTAAAGTGGGACTGACTTCCTAAACTGGTTGGGTACCTTACCCATCCCTGTGGTGGGCTAGCACGCTGTTTTTTATGTACTTCACATACCTGCCTTACAACAGTTCCATTAATACCTTCAGGGAGGTCTATTTTTCCAGAATTCCAGGAACTGTTCTTAGAAACCAGGCTGGTTTAACAGCATACTGCTGTTAAAAATCCCAGGCAAATTTATGTCACAATTCTGTTTCAAATGGTATAGGCAGGACCTAGAAACACTGACGGCAACGTGTCTGAACTTGATTGCTTCACTTAGTCCCTTAACCACATATGCAGATCTCCTAGACTCCCCTGGTATATCACACCATCATGTTGCCAGCCCAACAGGATTGGTGATTCAGATGTCTCTACTGGTGTCCTGCAGTGTCTCTGCAACTTTGTGCAAATGTAATGAGAAAGATGCCAATTAAAAAAGCACAAGAGTCCTGCAGTGTGGCAGGCTGATTCAAATTAGATACCTTTATGAAGTGATTAAAAATAGGTTTTTTAAACCTGAAGATAACAGGAGGACAGTATGTTTGATTTCCATCAGCAGGGGCCAGCAAAAAATGTAGAAGGACCACACAAAGCTCTTTATTCCTGCAGATTTACTGGTGATGATGTTGAGGATAGAAAGGGAGAAATACAGTGTACTTCTGGTGCCTTTCAATATGCTAAGAATCTCAATTGTTCTTCCATCTCAGCAGCTACTACTTACTGCCAGACCTCCAAATAAGTAATACTTTTCTTTAGCAACTTTGATCCATCATTCAGGTGCACATAATCATTAACAAATCAAACCTCGCAACTTCCTTTGGCAAAAAAAAAACTACTGTCATTCTCATTTTACAG